AGCTCAGGGAAATCAAGCAGTTGACAATGCAGCAAAAGCCACAGTAGGACACTCTCCCTTGATGATGACAGTCACAGCAGAGGAAGAGATAAAATACAAACTTACACTTGAACAGGTTACTGAACTTCAAAAGGGGGCGGCACCAGAAGAAAAAGAACATGTGGAGACTAAGGAGGGCGACTGAGAAGGAACAGTGATTGATGTACAGACTTACTTTGCTAGATCATTTGTGTGTAAATAGGAGATTTTAAGTTACAACGCTCTTAATAACCAAAGTATTTATCTTTCTTCCTTTGAATGTGTACATGACGAATCTCTTAGTGGGACGTCCCTAGACCCAGAAGAACAATGAAAATGTGGTGGATCTGTGTTCTTAAATAAATTTGATTTGACATGACTAAGACTGGACTGGACTGATAAATTAATTAGGTTCTCGTGTATAGAGTGTTTTTAACCACATTTTTACGATAGTCATGTATTGTGAAACTTTTGTTTTTGTTTTACCTAAACAGATCTCCAGAGGAGCTATGGCAGAGCTGAATAACTGATTTTGACTTCCTTTTATTTTTCCAGCTCCATTTATCAGCAAACTCAATGTTTAATGCTGTATTGTGCTGTTTTGAGGACAGGGTGATTAATGAAAATATATTTTCTGCGCATGCGTTTACTAAATTCTTTCCCACAGGCAGGAGGAAATAAGACAAATAAAATCTATCATCTTAACTAAAATTAACATCACCCATGCCAAATATTCACCACTAAACTTTGAAACCTTAACTCTTCTGATTACTCATCTTCACTGCATGTGGTAATCACATATTGCTGTGTTTTCTTGTGAAAAATAACTTTGCTTCTTTCAGGAAGATCCAGAGTAAAGGACTCTGGAGAAATCCATCATATCCTTTTTGAGGTTCAGGTTTGTAAACATAAAAAAAAGGATGAAAGGATGAATGGAATGTGGTTTATGTTGTTCTATAAAACCATTATAGTGTAGAAGTAATAATGAAATATTTTATATTGACAAACCCCTTTTAGTGGTAGAGATAGAAAATACAGTCACATGCCTTAGAGGGCTGAAATTGTGCTATGTTTGGAGATATGTGTTGTACTTTCATCCCCAACAATACAGGTTCTGATGGGTCAGTGACCAGGGCACTGGAGGGATTGAGGACACTGAGTAAGACCATGTACAAACACTCAGGTGTACTGGTCGTATGTGGTTGCTGCTGTGTGCCCTGTGCAAGATCACTCGTGGTGTGCTGTATCACCTCAAACATTGAGAAAGGGAGTGGGGATAGACCTTCTGGATATCAGATGTTGTCAACCAGCGATCCTTCAAGCCACACGGAATTCGAGCTCTCCCTGGTGGCATAACCCGAGAACTGCTGACACTGACTTCATAACCTGTCTCCTAACATGTGTTTTACACAATTTTTCTTTGCTTTAAGTTGATTCTTATACATATTATAATTACATGTGTTACTTTGCTTCTCTTGCTCCCAAATTACTGTTGAGTATTGGTTTGGATATTTTATCATACTGCTAGCAATAGGCAACTTAGATAAATGCATGTGGCCACATCTTAACTTTTACTGAAACTCTCTCTCTCTTTCAGTCAGTGGCAACGCGACGGAACGATGCCTCTATGAGATGGACCTTAATTGTCCAACCAATTCGTAGTCATTGTTAAAGACGCAGGCCAACAAGTTGTGGTCCTTTTAAAATACAGGCATCCATAGTGCGCTTTGTAACCAACTGACAGAGAATTACATTTTTAGACATTGTATTGCGTTTTTTCACTAAGTTGTGCTATATTTATCTTATTAATGGCTCATTTGATTGCTATTGTTATATAATTTAAACAGCAATTTTGTTAAACTTATGACACAGGGTAAGGATGATTGTGAGAGTGCACTGGAACGCCATCTTGGTCGTCGTCACAAGGGGCGTGAGGCGTTGTGCTGTTTTTACCCCGCACCACTACATCGTTGCCCTGGGGATTTTTCCAGCACAAGTTCTGGACACTCGTCAGGGACAGATGTTTGCAGCCAAAGAGGTGGTCCCCTTGGGGGGACCAAAAGGGGGAAATGTTGTATAATGTCATCTTTTTTGCTATGCTCTGACATGAAATATTTCTCTGTGTATGGTTAAAAAAAAAAGCAAAATCATGATGTACGTCATAGAAGTTCATGATGTGCGTAACTCCTTGTACAAGAGAACCAGAGACTATTGTTATCTTGCCAGAAAAGATCACATTCAGCTGGGGCAGTGGGCAAAAAAAACAAGACCATGCCAGACCACGCCCAGTAGCACCGACTGACTCAGGACAACATCATGATAAGGACATCCCAATGTAACTGATAAGGCTGTATTTAAACGAAGCAAATACATTTGTAACTCAGACTTGTTAGATGGATGTAAGGTGCATGTGAGACGTCTCCCTTTCCAGCGCTGTGAAGGTAAAATAAATCTTTGTCTGAATTCAGAACCACTTCCCAGGCTGTGTTTTTGACTCTGTCTTCCTTCCACTGAACGATCTCGAGTTGAGGCAGTTTTTGAGCTAAGTGTTTGAAAGTTGGTTCTCAATGTTTGATTAAGACCTCAACAACAGTCAGTGACATCCATCCATCCATTATCTTTTACCCGCTTCTTCCATTTTGGGTCACGGTGGTCGCCAGTGCCCATGTCTGGCAATCACTGTGCGAGGGGTGGGGTACACCCTGGACGGGTCGCAAGTCCATCACAGGGACACATAGAGACAAACGAGACAAACAACCATTCATTCTCTCTCACCTAGAGACAATTTAGAGTTACCTATCAGTCTAACATGCATGTTTTTGTTTGTGGGAGGAAACCGGAGTACCTGGAGAAAACCCACGCATGCATGGAGAGAACATGCAAACTCCACCCAGAAAGGCCCCCACAGATCAGTATTTGAACCAGCAACTTTCTCGCTGAGAGGCAGAAGTTCTATCAGTTGCGCCACCGTGCTGCCCCAGTCAGTGACAATTTCCAGATGAACTAGCTCACATTTCTGGATCGTCCTCTCCACTCCCTGTCTGCATCGTTTGGGTTTTTTAAGCATGCGTATTGTTCCATGAGATCTACAGATGTTTTTATGGGGATTTGTAGATAGCCAGGAGACACAGTTGTGTTTTAATTTTCTTCACAAAATGATCCTTGTTAAACAGTTTGTAAATATGCATTATTCTAAAAAAGTTAAATCTGGTCCTCTGGACATTCAAAAAAACAAAACAAAGCAAATCAACAAAAAAATGTAGAAACATTTCATCTCTCATCCAAGAGACTTCCTCAGTCTGAGGAGCTGTATTCAGCTCAGTCTCTTAAATAGCACCTTCTCAGAGTGGATCAACCAGTTTTGCTGCTGACAACCAAAACCAGCTGATCACATGCTCAAGAAGGACCATCAGCCTAACAATGGATCATTAGCACACTGATGGCTGTTTACTGTTCACAGAGGGCTGAGTGATACTAGCAATCACAGCATTGTAAGAGGGGGACAGTTGAACCTGGAGGCTCCACCCCTGTTTAATGATGGACGGTTTCTTTTCACAAAGATGGCCTCCTTTACTCCTCTCTCAAACCATCGTTCCTCTCTATCCAGGATGTGAACATCTTCATCCCTGAAAGAGTGACCACTGGCCTGGAGATGAGTGTAGACCGCAGAGTCCTGGCCTGATGATGTTGATCTTCTGTGCTGAGGAAGTCTCTCGGATGAGAGACGAAATGTTTCTACATTTTTTTGTTGATTTGCTTTGTTTTGTTTTTTTTGAATGTCCAGAGGACCAGATTTAACATTTTTAGATTTTTCTACCTGGATTATTGAGCATGCATCAGGATATGCATTATTCTGTTTTGAACTGCCCAGAGCCTGTCAATACTGGCAAAACAAATGAAAAATAGAATGGCTAAAACCACAATTAGTTAATTTATTGCCTTTAAAACAGAAAATATAGAGTGAAAGAATTCCTTGTGGCTTTTCTCAGACCAAGATAAACCTCCTGCATGTTGGACATAAACTATTCTCCTCCATGCTCTGCTGTGACTAAGCTGCCTCTGTTGTATTGATCATCCAGAGGCTTAATTTGGGTCAGAGTGGACACAGATTGACTAAATGAGGGACAAGCTCTTTTACAATCTGGTTGGTCAAATCAGTTTTAACCTCTGTCTGTAACTGGATGTAGCTCGTTGTTCTCAGATATCAACTGATGGTCGCAGCCTGAATCAGATCAAATTGGTTGAAAACTCTGGTGGGTGCATTTTTTTTTTTTCTTTTTTAAGAATAGTTTATTTTGTCTGAACATTTTAGAAATTATCTATGAAGTATTTTGCTATTCTGATTTGGTTTATTGATTTGTAATTGTTCAGTTTGACCCGTTATATAGTCTTGTTTGGTAACTAAACAAAATAAAATGATCAAACCTGAAGCTTGTGCCTGCTGGACTGAACTGCTGTTGAAACTGGTCCAACTGGTGAAAATTTTGTCTGGTTTATTATAGGGAATAAGGGAATAAGACCTTTAAAAATGTTGGAAATAAGATAGCATGATTCAATGTGATTAAAATGGAACATTAAATAATAAAGAAATGAATAGTAAAAACACTCTGTTTTAAATTGTGGAAAAATATGTACTAATAAAAGTATTTTATGCTACCAAGAGCATAGTGGAATTTCACAATTGTTGTTCTTTGTTCATAGCTGGTTTTTTTTTGTTTGTTTGTTTCTAAAACAAGAATTAGGATGATAAGCTCAGAGTTCAAGAGATAAATTAAAATCTTTATTAATGCATTTTAAGCACCGCTCTGTGTATTGTTCCTTTTTTTTTTTGTCAAATGTCTCCAAAAGTTAAAATTTAAAAACAGTAGCAGTGGTTTTTCTGCTGTCCCAGTTTGAAACTAGTGTGTTAGTTAAAACCAGATGCCTCCTGATGCGTGCGTCTATGTGTTCATGCAGGCACCTGCAGGCTGTTCTCATTGGCGATGTCTGGAACAGAACCTACCAGCGACAGAGAGGAGGACGACTACAGGTTCCTCCACAGCATGTTGATGGAGAAGAAGCTCCACCTGCTTTTTAAGGTGAAGTTTGGGATTAATTTCACTAACAAAGACTCAAATGGGCAGAAATGTCCCTTGCCCAGACGTGGTTTACCTGGGCCTCATCCTGGAGCAAGGAGGGGCTTGACGGCAAGTTCCTGGTGACTGGGTCTTTATCCATGGGGCCTGGTCGAGTTCAACCCAAACAAACAACATGGGGTTGCCTTCCTGTGGGTCCACCACCTGCAGGAGGGGTCATATGAGTCAGGTGCATGACACCATGGGCAGTGGCCGAAGGCAGGGGCCTTGGTGCTCTGACCCTGACTTACTTAAGCTGGCTCTTGGGACATGGAACTTAACCTCTCTGGTGAGGAAGGAGCCTGAGCTTGCGTGAGGTTGAGAGGTACCAACTGGATATAGTTGTGCTCATCTCAATGCACAGCATGGGTTCTGGAACAAATCTTGAGAAGGGCAGGATCTTATTCCACTCTTGAGTTGTCCATGGTAGGAGGCACTGAGCTGGTGTGGGTCTATTCAGCTCCACAACATGGTGCCTGTGTGTTGGAGGTTTTCCCAGTAGAAAAGGTTGCTTCTCTGCACCCCCAATCTGTGTCAGAGTAGGCCATGTTCCACGCCTCAGTTAATGAGGTTACTGCCTTGAGCTGTGGCCGCAAGGTTGTTGGTGGTTCTTGTGGAAGCCGTCTTTGAACACAGTGGTGGATGTTAGGGAGGCTGTCAAGCTGAAGAAGGAGTCCTATCAGGCCTTGTTGGTTGGTGAGACTCTAGAGGCAGCTGAGCAGTTCAGAGGGCCAAGCAGGCTTTATCCTTGGCTGTTACTGGGACTAAAGCTCAGATGTGGGAGGAGTTTGGTGAGGACTTGGATAGAAACTCTTGGTCAACTCTGAGGAGATTCTGGTAAACTATCAGGCGACTGACAAAGGGGAAGCTGCTCTTTACTAACACTGTGTTCAGTGAAGGTGGGGTGCTGTTGACCTCAATCAGTGATATTCTCAGGAGGTGGAAGAAATAGTTCTCGGACATCCTCAATCCTACCAGCACATCTTCCATGTTCCAACATTGGGGTTGGTCTATCCATAACCATCATTTTCCTTAGCCTCCCTGGTAAGATATATTCATGGGTACTTGAGAAGCGAGTTGGATTGTTGGTTGAACCTCGAATCTAGGAGAAACAATGCGGGCTCCATCCTGGCTGTGGAACACTGGACTAGCTCTTAACTGTCACTAGGGTCCTTGAGGGGTCATGGGAGTTTCCCATCCAGTCTACATACATGTTGTGGACTTGGGGAAGGTGTTCAAACATTTTCTTTGGGATTCTCTGCGGGGAGTGCTCCATGAGTATGGGACTGGGAGCCTATTGTTACGGACTGTTCAGTCCCTCTACAAGCAGTGTAAGAGTTTGGTTCACATTGCCAGTGCAGCCAGGGGGCAGTCCAGTTCGGTGGCCTCAGGATTCTTTCTCCTCCATTTGCGGATGATGTGGTCCTGTTGGCGTCATCATGCTGTGAACTTCAGCTCTCAATTAAGCAGTTCTCAGTCGAGTGTGAAGCAGCTGGCATTAGAATCAGCACCTCCAAATCTGAGGCCATGATCCTCAGTTGGAAAAGATGGATTGCTCTCTTCAGGTCGAGGATGAGATTCTGCCTCAAGTGGTGGAGTTCAAGAATCTTGTGGTTTTGCTCACGAGTTGGGAAGAATGGAGCACAAGATTGACAGACAGACCGGTGCAGCATCTGCAGCATCTGCAGTATTACAGATGCTGTGCCAGTCTGTTGTGGTTAAATGGGAGCTGAGCTGTAAGGTGAAGCTCTCTTTTTACCAGTTGGTCTATGTTTCTACCCTCACCTATGGCCACAAACTCTGGGTAGTGATGGAAAGAATAAGATTGTGGATACAGTTGGTTGAAATCAGTTTCCTCCACAGGGTAGCTGGACTCTCAATTAAAGACAGCGTGAGATGTTTAGTAATTCTGGAGAGACTTGGAGTAGAACCACTGCTCCTCCACATCGAGAGGAACCAGTTGAGCTAACTCAGGCATCTGGAATAGATGCTACCTGTACTTTAGGCATTTCTGACTGAAAGAAGACAGTGGGGAAGACCCAGGACATGCTAGAGAGCGTCTTGTCTATCAGTTGTCTTGGGAACACCGTGGAATCCTCCAAAAATGCTGGAAGAGGTGGCTGTAGGAAGAGATGCCTAGGCATCCCTTCTCAAGTTGCTTCCCCACGACCCAACATTGGAACAAGTGGAAGATAATGGATGGATGGATAGACAACCCAAGTCACAGCCTTCCATCCATACATCTTTTACCCACTTCTTCCTTTATGGGTCACAGGATCACTGATGCTCATCACCTCTTATGCAAAAACTGCAGCTTTGAGTGATTTAATTAAGAAACACCAAATTTAGAAAACATTTAAAATTAACATTTCCACACAGAACCTCTGAAGCTCAGTCAGAATGTTCACTGTGTAGTATGTCAAGGACAGCTTTGCTGTGGACATACGGTCCCACCAAATGTGGGGTGCAGCTTCGCTGTACCTTCACTACCAATTATTTAAATATAATGGGTTCTTTCTTTTTCGAGTTAAATTAATGCCATGTGACTGAGGTAACTGTGAGTATTGTTTAATCAGTGACAAGAGACGTTAATTTCCTTTGACCCATCAGAATAAATGCGGTCATTTATTTAACAGAATCAAAATTTAACATCAAAACATTGTACACTTGATTAGCGGATCTGGTTCTGATTAATAAAACTTGGCACGCTTTACTAATAAGACAACAAGACATTTCTGAAGGCATCTAGAAAGATTACTAGCAAAATAGAAGAGTTTAAAGGAGATGGATGAAGGGAGGTGTATGTTTGGATTGACCAGAATTAGCACGCTTCTTTCAATCACCAGCTCAAACCTCTGGTACACTTAGCGCGTGATGACTCGTTACCTTCGCAGGAGAAGAATCAGCTCCGGTACCGGGTCCATTTCAACGCTACCTTCCAGCGTCTCCGGTTAGAGCGGCTGGTCATTGTCAGAAGTCGTGTCGATTTACTTCGTTCAACAAACAGGCTCAGCTCCCTTCGAAGTTGGAGGCGTTACGCCCGGGTGGATTCAAAGCAAGTATCTGTGAGTCCGTCAGAGTTTCCACTCAGAAGTGGAATACTCCACAAGGCTTGAGAAGACTCCATCAAAGACTGAGTTAAACTCAGATTAAAGACTGAGGAGTCAAGAAGACTCAGAAGACCCAAGAAGACTGAATAGTTCTAGGAAGTGTGTACTTTTAAAGAGTTCTCACTTCCGGTCACTTAGGACGTCCTGATTGGTTGAAACAACCAACAGGGGTGGTTCTAGTGATGTCAGAGGGTTATTAAAAGTCAAGCGAGGGTTCAGGAATGTTTAGGAACGTTTAGTACAGACAGAGAAATGTTATGGCGAAGTGAGACAACGCAGAAGCCAGTGTTTCTCTTTTTACCGTCTGCTAGGTTTAAAAACAATACAGCCCGTTCTACTAACTTGTTTTCTGACTGTCTCTGACTTTCGACTGACATCACTACTTCTCATTCAGACAGAAGATCAAAATGCATAATTACTTTGTAAATAGACATTTAACTTGATTTCTAATTTAAATGAGGTTTTAAAAAATCATTAATACTGTTTCACAGTTGATTTAAAATGAGTGGTTCACTTCAACATTTAGAAATGGTATGAACTAAACACACTTTGATTATCAAGATATTGTAAAATAGTAATGATAATATAAAAAGAAGAGTGTTCTTTCAATTGATTACCTCAGGATACAATTAGACAGTCTCTGGATGAGCTAATTTGTATTTCTGGATTCAAATCAATGAAATAACAGTTCCTGTCCCATGAAGGTCTTCAGAGACAGGTTTTGGTCGGAGGCCTAGTTCACTACAACTGTGTTCTTTGTCACCTCTCTCACCTTGGTTCTTGACCCTCAACTGTTCAGTGGGGCCAGGCTACCAGCTCGCAAAGTCCTGGTCCTACCAAATGTCTTCCACTTCAGATATTTGCGTGTCACTGTGGCCTTGGGTACCTTCAGTGCAGCAGACATATTTTGTCTCTTCTTGAGATCAGTTTGTTTTAAATCTAATTTTGTAAATGTGGTACTAAGTGTAGATTATTGGCTTAAAAATAATTTAAGCAAATGTATCATCAGGCTGGAACATGACAAACTGGAAAAAGTGAAGGGGGTCTCATAACTTTCTGGAGCCAACTGTGACATGCTGAAGAAATAGAGTTATCACCTCTCAATGAGAAGGTCACAGGTTCGCTTCCCGACCTGGGACTTTTCTGGATGGAGTTTGTTCTCATTGTGCACATGTGGCTTTTCTATACAATTACTCAAGTTTCCTCCCACAGACAAAAAAACATGCATGTTGTGTTCATTGATAACTATAAATTGCCCCGAAGTGTGAGTAGGAGAGTGAATGGTTGTTTGTTTATATGTGCCTGTGATGGACCGATGACCTGTAAAGGGAGTCCCACATTTCTCACACATTTTCTGCAGATAGGCTCAAGCTTCTGAAAAGGAAAAGTGGCTGAAGAAAATGGATAAATGCTTGGAAATACTTTATTAGTGTTACTATTTGCAGCTATAGCTTGAGGAAAATCATTTAATATGTAATTACAGCTGAAGTTGCAGCCATTGTCTATTTTTAAAATGTGGATAAAGTCCTCAATAAGACTCTTTCCTGATTTGACAGATCCACGAGCAGTTGAGGCGATTTGAGAAGCGGAGCCCGGTCCACGTCCAGGAACACGCAGCAAGTTTGGCCTCAGATGTGTGTGATTACACCCCCCCCCCCACACACACACACACACACACATACACACGGTTTTCCATTATGACAGGTGGTAAGCAGTATGAACGTTTGTGTGTGAAAGCGTTTTTCTGGACTAGAATTGAACAAAGAGTGCAAGTAAACCTTAATGATTTAGTGCAAGATATTCAAGTGGGTAGGATTTACACTGTTGAGAAGATGAGTTTTTTTATTTTTTATTAATTCATTTATTTTGCTTGGCAGTGCAAAGTGACAAATACTGGTTGTGGGATTCCTGGGTTTTTCTGTCACCCACTCTCTTTCCACAGCTAATCACCTCCACTCATTACACCAGCTACTGCCTGAGGAGATCTGATCTGGGGCTGTATATTAACTCCTGCCAGACATCTCTTCAGCGCCAGGACATCAACTACCTTATGATAACTCATGTTCAGCCAACTAACCTTTTTCATTACAGCTGGTCCTCACCGTCAGTGATCTCTCCAGGGCTTTCCACGTCCTGCTCCTTCAAGTCCTCCCTAGGACCTCATTTCTCCACAGTGACTCTCCTGTGGATCAATGATGTCTCATCAAACCGCAGCCATCAAACAAATCAGCTTGGGTCAACCTGCTCCTCTCTCCATCAATACTCACCTCCACACCAGATCTCCCAAAAAACTCAGGACCTCTCCACTCCTCCTCGGGGCACACCTACAAACACAAAAACAGTAAATTATTATTCATTCTAAAATCATCATTACTAAGGATTGCCTGAAGATTTTAAAGATACTCACCTGGCCTTCTTCTCTCTTACATCCCTGTAAATACTTTGTACCTGGCACTGCACCTGTAAATAAAGTTCACTTACATTTTGCATTTTGACTCTGTCGTTCCTTCTCAGTCTGCTTACTTTGGGGGCCGCCGCTAAATACAATCATGATAGAACGTCTTGGCCAAACAGACCCCCCCAAGCAGAACCGAGGAGGTTCAGGCTCAGCCACAAATAAAAGAGAAAACCGTCCAATATGCTGTGACTACAGAAAATTTTAACCCAGTAGCAAACCACTCAAGACAACTTTTGGGAGCTGGGTGGCATGGTGTTTGCTCTTCAAAAGGAGATGGCAGCCCAATCCTCCTCAATAACCCAAACTGCTCCTGCAGGACCTACGGTGCAGACCATTACCCTGCCTCCCAAGGAACCAGACATAAGACCTTCAGAAATGTTTGAAGGTAATACACGCAAGTGTGGAGACTTTATCTTACAATGTAATCTGGCATTTAACCGAGCTCCCGCCACCAACTTTGCTCGCATAACCTAGAAACCGGATTCCAAAAAAGTTGGGACACTAAACAAATTGTGAATAAAAACTGAATGCAATGATGTGGAGGTGCCAACATCTAATATTTTATTCAGAATAGAACACAAATCACAGATCAAAAGTTTAAACTGAGAGAATATATCATTTTAAGGGAAAAATCTGTTGTTTCCAAATTTCATGGCGTCAACAAATCCCCAAAAAGTTGGGATAAGTACATTCTTAACACTGTGTGGCATCCCCCCTTCTTCTTACAACACTCAACAGACGTCTGGGGACAGAGGAGACCAGTTTCTCAAGTTTAAAAATAGGAATGCTCTCCCATTCATGTCTAATACAGGCCTCTAACTGTTCAATCGTCTTGGGCCTTCTTTGTCACACCTTCCTCTTTATGATGCACCAAATGTTCTCTATAGGTGAAAGATCTGGACTGCAGGCTGGCCATTTCAGGACCTGGATCCTTCTCCTACGTAGCCATGATGTTGTGATTGCTGCAGAATGTGGTCTGGCATTATCGTGTTGAAAAATGCAGGGTCTTCCCTGAAAGAGATGATGTCTAGATGGGAGCATATGTTGTTCTAGAACCTGAACATAGTTCTCTGCATTAATGGTGCCTTTCCAGACATGCAAGCTGCCCATGCTACAAGCGCTCATGCAACCCCATACCATAATTGATGCAGGCTTCTGAACGGAACGTTGATAACAACTTGGGCTATCCTTGTCCTCTCTGGTCCGGATGACATGGCGTCCCAGTGTTCCATAAAGAACTTAAAATCGTGACTCATCTGACCACAGAACAGTCTTCCATTTTGCCACACTCCATTTTAAATGACCCCTGGCCCAGTGCAAACGTCTGAGCTTGTGGAGCTTGTGGAGCTTGCTTAGAAATGACTTCCTCTTTGCACTGTATAGTTTCAGCTGGCAATGGCGGATGGCATGGTGGATTGTGTTCACTGACAATGCTTTCTGGAAGTATTCCTGAGCCCATTCTGTTATTTCCTTGACAGTGGCATTCCTGTTTGAGGTGCAGGGACGTTTAAGGGCCTGGAGATAACGAGCATCCAGTAGAGTTTTACGGCCTTGACCCTTACGCACAGCGATTGTTCCAGATTCTCTGAATCTTTTGATGATGTTATGCACGGTTGATGATGATAACTTAAAAGTCTTTGCTATTTTATGCTGGGTAACACCATTCTGGTATTGCTGCACTCTCTTTCTGCGCAACAATGGTGGAATTGGTGATCCTCTTACCATCTTGGCTTCTGAGAGACACTGACACTCTGAGAAGCTCTTTTTATACCCAATCATGTTGTCAATTGACCTAATTAGTGTTAATTGGTCTTCCAGCTGATCGTTATATGCTCAATTTCCTTTTTTCCAGCCACTTATATCTACTTGTCCCAACTTCTTTGGGATTTGTTGACACTGTGAAATTTTGAGTCAACATATTTTTCCTTTAAAATGTTACATTTACTCAGATTAAACTTTTGATCTGTCATCTATATTATATTACGAATAAAATATTGACATTTGCCATCTCCACATCATTGCATTCAGTTTTTATTCACAATTTGTTTAGTGTCCCAACTTTTTTGGAATCCGGTTTGTATGTTGTCAGCACTCTGAAGGGAGAAGCGCACCAGTGGGCTTATGCTTACCTTCACAGCCATCCCATCAAAGCCTTGGTTTTTTCAACATTTTTGAGGGATTCCCTTCGAGTTTTTGATCACCCCCTGCAACAGGAGGAGATGGCTCAAAAGCTCTTCACCATACGCCAAGGAAAGGAGACGGTGGCCAAATTCGCCGTTCACTTCCGCATCATTGCGGAGGAATCTGAATGGAGTGAGACAGCACTATGTAGTGCCTTCATTAACGCCTTAAACAAACACATAAAAGACCAACTGATTACCAGAGATCTCCCTGTGGATTTGGATAGGGTCATTTATCTGGCGATAAAGACTGATAATAGTGTTTAGGAAAGTTTGTTGGAGGAAAACTACAACTCCCGTGAAAACACACTACCCGGAAGAGTTAAGGCTCCAGTATACTACCGCGTACGTCCGTTCACGCGTACATACGCGTGTACTGTACGCAGAGGGTTCAGACATGATACTCCAGCTTACACCCCAAGCAGCTGCAGAGCAGCTTCACAGACAAGGGGCGTTTACCTTAGGGACAATTTATTTATTCATTTATTTTATTTTTATTTTTTTCCCCTTGTCCTGTCCGGCATTGTGACACTTAGAATTATTGTCTGAGTGTCAAAGTGATGCCCAACAGATTTACTTTCACAACCAGAGCATTATGGCTGGCTTTAATGCTCCACTTGATATATAAATTAAATTTTATTAGAATATGCTTTGGGTTTGTACCAGATGTAATGGACATGGGGAAGAAAATCAAAGAATATAACAAAGCAGAAAAGTTAGAGAATAGTTAAAATGTAAAGAAGGAGATAGGAATAGAGGAGAGAGAGAGAGAGAGAAATAAAGAGAACACAAATCAACATCAATGAAGTCTGCCTCTAGACCTGCGGAAAGAGAAAAAAAAGACAAAACCAAGAAACCACAACAATAGACAACTTATATAATGATATTTATAACATCATTAGAAAGTATTTTATACAGCACATGGTAATACAATATATATTTGATGGCCACCACAACCCAACTGAGTGTGTATCTGATAAACACCTGAATCTAAACACCTGTGTGAGCATGCTTATCACTATAAGGTGTCTCCATAAAAATGTTCAATAGTGGATGTGGGGACCCATAAACCTGTCCCCACAGGACACGAAGGTAACACAGGTAAGACAGGAACCACAGACACACAGCGGCCCCCAAGCCCGGAACTCCGGTAGTCCCCCAACAGGGACACCTGCACCCCCCAGAGAGAGAAGCAAAGGGAAGCCCTGGGCGATCCCCAGCAACCACAATGCAGAAACACCCAGGAGGCTGTAGCGACGAGTCAACAGGCCCCACCGGCAACAGCGACGAGTCAACAGGCCCCACCGGCAACCCGCCCCTCCAGAGTGGATCCGGCCATGGACACCGAGCCCCGAGTCCCGAGGTCATACCACCCCCCAACAGAGGCCCGACAGAGCCAGGGCACCCAGACCCCCGCAGGCAGCAACCAGGGCGGGCCCTCACACACCCCACCACCCAGCCCCAGCTGCTGAGAGCCGCCAATGCACCGGCGGCAGGGGGGCCCACCACCGGAGGGGAGCACGACCCACCAAATGGGGGGCCAAAACTGGTCCAACAGAGGGGGGCCACCCAAAACCCAACCTGAGAAAACAGGCACACAGACACAGCCCAACAGAGCCTCTGTTGGGCTGGCCATGTGCCCCACCTGCCCAACAGTGACCGCAAGCCGGTCCCAGGCCGGGGGCCAGAGCAGCAGGGAGCAGCAGCTGAGGAAGGCCAGCCCAGCGCACCAATGCATCCCTAAAGCCCCACACCACAGGCCCGGAGAACCCCCGGCCCGCCCCCCCCCCCCCCCCCCCCCCCCCCACACACACACACAGCACCCCGCACCGTGAATATCACATCAGGCCGACCATCCAGCACTCCATCCAAGTGAAGCCACGCCCCCGACCGCCGCCACGCACTACCAACGACCACACACACACAACCACAGCCAACCCCCCGCCAGAACCCAGCAGCCACCCCAGCCAAAGGGCTGGCCATCGGAACCAGGAAC